CAAATATACTTTGTACCACTTTGATAAACCAATTTAGGTGAAAAATTTGAAAATTATAGGACCTAAATAAGATACATCAAATACATATGTATGTATATAGTTTATATAAAAAAAGCAACGATAAATCATTATAATGAAAAAATAACTCTGAGTGGAGTTCCCTAAACTGGTATTTATACGGTTACCTATAGTATTTGATCGTGCTTTTCTTTCAATTTCGACCAAAGTAACCAATACGATTCGAAAATAAAACCAATGTATTGTCGTTTGTTATCATTTTTTTAAATAGTTTTTAGAAAACTGTCGGGAATCCGAAAAAATATTTTTCATATGAAGTACTAATTAGCAGAATACCTGCGTCTTAAGGTACGGCGTGAATATAAATTTAGAGCATTTTTACCCGTCGATTTCATAACATAAATATATTTTATAGTAAAACTAATAGTTTCTTTGCTATATACATTTAAGAAAAAATAACAATTTGAATCTTAACTGACAACGGACATTTTTAAGTATGTTTTTTTTTTACATATATATATATATATTGCCAAAAAAAATCTGAACACATTAATTTATTAACTATAACTGAGTGAATAAAATTAAGAATTTAAAAAAAAAAAATTATTTACTAGTTTTTTTTTTATCGATGCGCACGTCGTAATATTGTATTATAGATATAGGTATTGAAAATATTACTACGTGTTTCGCTTAAAGCTAATATTTTATCATTATTGTTATAATAGTCATATAATATTTTATAATTTTTAAACCTACTATTAAACTTTATACCCAAGACGGTTTTTTTTTTTTTTTTTAAACATTTTTATTGTAAAATTATTCAAATATCGGTTGAATTTATAATATTATATGGATAGCGAGCATATACCTATAAATAGGTACCTATCTATATATTAGGTACCTATAGTACTTCTGTACTGTGCAATGGATCGCCAGGTATAAAAAACCTCGACTGACGTGTTTATTGACGTGAGAACTTGACATTACGCTCGAAGGCGAATTATCAGCTGTATACGTACCTATATACGTATTATATTGTCGGCGCCCAGTTGGAAGATTGCCCAAACCGATTAATTATAAATAATGGTAGACGTGCCAACAAATTGATACACTGCGGTCCGCAGGAGTCTAGTGCGTGTAGTGGCTTTGGTTTTGAAACGTTCGAACACGCTTTTTAAAGCCTCGATTGGCCTGGCGGCTAATAATAGGATACGTTATACTATATGATATCGAAAGCTGTCTAAAGTACACTTTTTATTATCATTTGTCAAAAACGAAGGGGGTAGGAGACAAACTTTATTAATTGTATACTAAAAAGATACGATATAATATAGTATCGTCATACAATTTACGATACCTAGTAGGTAATATATTATTAGATAATAAATTTACAATTTATCCGTCCACCTGCTAAATAATATAGCTATAGTATAATACCTATTATAAATAAAAATACAAAAAACTAAACGGTAAAATTATAATGCGCTTTTATATTTATTAGTTTGGTAATTTGTGTTTATATTTAATAATAATTTGTTCGTTAGAAAAATCATTTAATATTTTGAATAATTAAATATTATTATTAACTTGTACCTAATAAATATTAAAATATAATATAGACAGTCCAATTTTCTATGCAATTGAAATTTCATCTTTTAAGCTCGTGTATTATAGATGTAATTAAATTAAATTATCGGTTTCAACTACTTTGCATTTTTAATACCGTTCGGCGTTCGTTATAAATTTATAATTATAATACTGTTTATTATAATTTTTTCTTTCTGAGTGAAGCCAGGAATGTATAGGTTTTACTATATGCTATTCTTTATTTTGTGTCTGTAAACATCTCATCTACCAAAAATCTTGTTCCAATCAAAAACTTAATGTTAATAACAATAACTTTCTTTAGTGGTGTGCACAAGGGGGGAGAGAGGTTAGGATTTACATCCCCCCTTATTGGCTTAAAAATACAAACAAATATGAGTAGTTAAATATAGAAATGCATATATTTCAGCCAAGTTACGAAAAAAGACTTAATATATTGATTAGAAATCGGCTCTTTTTAGGATCCGGCTTCTAAGTTATACCAATTACCACAGTCGAGTTGGGTAGAGAAGAGGATTTTACCATTTATTCACGATTTTTATTTGCTACATTCCCTCCCATTGATAATTCCTGAGTATGCCACTAGGCACTGACATATATTTATGTATTAATATATTGACGGAGTCATTTTTTAATTTGTTTTGTTGTTTTCTTAATAAATGAGAAAAAGTGGCCAATGTTTCTGTAACTTGTCTTGGTTTCTGGTTTTCTTTAATGACAAGGAAAAAAACACGACTTATATTACTTTGCTCAAAATCGTTTTTTGTTGTTAATAGTTTATCGTTGCGTACAGGTATAAATTAAATTAGCTTACGAGCAAATATATCCTCATTTCCTACTGCCCAACTAAAACAGTGACATAACACTCAACAGTACATGTTTTTATTATATTATAAATCATAAGATATTATTTTTTTGCATACCAGTTTGGAAACAATAATTGAATACATATTATATTATTGCAGTTCTATAAGATACGAATTAAGATTTACAAGACCTAACATTGCAGATCAGTGCAAAGAATCAATATTAGTTTTATAGATTACAACAAACTACTATTTTCTTAAATAAAAAAGGAGAATAGATGAAATATTAGGTCAAACGTCATGTTTTTTTTTTTTTTTTTTTTATTTTGTCATACTTTTTAAATATGATTTTACAGGATTTTATAAAATGTAATTTTTACTGAATTTAAAAAAGTATATGTATAGTTAATTTAAAAATCATAAAAACAACACTGCAGTGTTAACACGTAGAACATAATCTTCCTCGATGTTAAGTTCTTAAATTATGAAACTAGGTTGCGTGTTAAGGCATTTTCGTGGAATGTTGATGGGTCTATTATAGTAGAGTATTACATTATTAAATAAAATGTTTTAACTTATAATATATTAACTATTTTTAAAATATCACATCAAAGACACATTCCTAAATGCTTTGGTAAAAAAAGTTATTTTTTGTAATTTTTTACTATATCGTTAATTTTCATATTTTTACATGTTTGGTTGTTACTGTTGTTCAGTATTTAATGTTGTGTTTTGGTTTTTGGTTGTTTGCCATATGTGTACAAAATAAAACACACACTTTGTCGACATGGCGTCCCTGAATGGGTAACCGATGGTATTTTTTGTTTTTAATTGGCTACATTTTTTTCGTCCTAATTTTAAGTGTCTAGCGAGTGGTTTTTTTTTCGAGAGGGCAGAGTATAGACATTTCTATGTTTACTTTTTATAACAATAAGCTGCAGAGCTTCAAATTGCTTGATTAAAAATCTCTAATAAGACATAATAATCGCGGAGTGGATAGTTAGCCTACAGTATTGATTTTCTTATAAACCATTTTATTATAACTCTTTTGGCTCGTTGAGTTTATAAAAATGTAAATTTCAAACTTGCGAAAACAATGAAAACCGCATCCAAATCCATTCGGTGGTTATTAAAATTAATTATTACCAAAAAAACTCAATTTCACATTTATATGATAAAAACATATTATTATTATATACATAGTTATAATTACACATTTCAAGAGTATAACTAGGTTTATGACTTGATCAGCTCAGTCATATTAAATGTAACAAAGAGTTGTAACTATAATAATACCGAATATTTTTAAAAGTTTACTTTTGATTTCTTTTGAATAATTGTGTACGTCAGTGATATCTGATGATGAAGGTTACCCTTATATTATTATTTATACGGCAGAAATCCAGTGAAAGATGATTAAGTATATTATATTATTATATTATATGTATATATATCGTGGTCAAAGCCTAAGGCAATTTTAACTAATTTGTTTAGAAGTTAACAACATTATATTATAGTATGCATGCAGGCTATACTTTATTAATTTGTACACGAATAGTGTACTATGTATGTGTACTATAATATATAAGGTCAAAAATAAAATGCAAGTTCTTTATATTTTAAATTAAGTAAAAGCAGTTTTATACATGTAAAAATTATAAAATTAATGCAATAGAAAAGACAGATTAAATATAATTTATTTTGACACTGCAATGGCTTATATCATTATTATACCTATATTATAGGTATACCTATTTAACCTATTAAGATGATCATGTTTTAATCGTACAAATCTGTATAATATTTATAAATATTTTTATTTCCTTAAAATGTTTTCTACGACGGTAGTTTTTATCAGTAGTAAAGCGGTGTAGTAGTGCAGTTTAGGATTTCTACATGAAGGAAATAAAAGGAAACGTCACTACGCTCCTCGTACAGGATATATACTACTCATAGATAGACCACCTGTTGTAGGTGGTAGTTTAAGAAGATAATTGGTGTACGAGTCTGAAAATACACAGGGCTTGAGGCCAATAAGTTTTAAACCTAATCATGTATCAATAAATTTAATGATCTGAAGATTATATTAATTTGTACCTTACTACAAATTATCTGTGATTTTTGGTCTTAAATCTTTGATCATTTTTATAGAGTTAAAAAACAGTCTTTGATGAGCCTCGTATCATATTTTCAATCATTTTTTGAAAAACGAAAATAAAAAAAATCGAAAATAAATCGTACCTATAAATATATACGTAAATGGTTATTACGTATATGTTTTCACCATCAACCACGAAGATAACTACTAGGAAAATCAAAAAACAACCTTTCAATTCACTAAATTGACAAAAAATGTATCTTATCGGTTTTTGATTGGAATAAGGTAGCAAGGTATCTCTGGTAGAAAAGTTGTATTCAGGCAGAAAAAACTAATAATAAAACTGGATACTACATTTCTCGCTACGCTCAGAATTTAAAAACATACAGCGCAAATAGTGTTTGACATTTGGGGAGGTTGATGGCCTTTTTCTTTACTTTTATGACTATATATTCCAATGTATTATGTAATGAGGTTATTATTATTTTTTTTTTTTTGAGGGGGGACTATAGAAATTATAGTGGGCTAAGGACCCTCCTTTTGATAAAAATTTATAAAAATAAATATAAACATGATATAATAATGATTTTTTTTTTTTAAAAACTATGAATGGAGAAGGGGTCCACCCCCGTGTTCCCTCTCAGCTTAGTTATGCCACTGGTCCTTATTAGATAATAATAAAACTTATCAAGCAATAATATTTTATTCTACTCGATTAACAAAAATTACAATTATTATTGATTGATTATTATATCGAAAATTGGGGCTTATCTAATTATTCGACTTGACGGTAATATTTTGTATTGTGCACGTGACACAAATGAGCTCACATTATATAATATTACATTCGATTTTGCTAAATTGTATCACACGCGTCTAACGTCTATATCGATAATGATGTTAATATGCTGAAATATTGATTAACGCGTATCGATCGCGCACGAGGTCAACGGGTTTCGTATTGTGGGTGTTTAAAGATTTATCTTTTTTTTTTTTTTTTCATACAAAGTGTTGTTATTATTTTAGTTACAGCCGTATGATAATGCCAAACTATATAATAGGCACACTTAAAAGAACATCGATATTCGACTGCCGGTAAACTTTTGATTGTGCAGATATCACGTTTAGTTAATACGATGATTCCCGTTCCCCGTCGCCTGTATGCGCAAAATCGTAACTTTCTCCAAAAATTAAATTCCGTCTTTCCCCGCTGCCCATTTCCCTAAAATATATATATAAACCACTTTCCTTCACTGCAGTATGTTTTTCTTCACTGTCCATTTTCTCCATTACCTATAGTTGTCACCATCTCATTAATTTATATACCAATATATTTCACACGGTGGCTGTAATATATTTAATTACACGAAATTAAAATAATTATTTTATATTGTTACATTTTTCCCACTATCATACACAAGTTAAAATTGATCTTTAGAACTTGTATATTGATAATTAATATAGAACCGCTCAATGATATTGTGCACATCGAGAGCTGCGAATGTTCCTCATAATCAGGACTTGTTTTATTTGATATTTGATTATTATATTTTTAATGAAAATAGACATGATTTTAGTGTAAACACATTTTCGGAGGAAAATAAAAAGTATCTTTTTTTTTTTTTTTTGGAAGAACCCATCTCCCCAAATTCTTTCGACGATGTACATTTTTTTTTATAAATCAAATTAATTAAGATTTTTGTTAACTATTTTGATATTTTGTAACTATTTTAAAATGGACCCCAACCATTTTAATCGGATATATTTTTAATAATCAATTTAATTGATGTTTGCGATCAATTGACGTGTACGCATCTAGATTATATATTATCATAACAACAAAACATCACTATAAATATTATTATTGTATAACTTTACATATTAAAATTTTTGAGCAATTTGACTTTTTGCATCTGCACAATTGTAACGGAGTATAATTGATAGGTACGTCATAATGCACGTTACTCGTAAGCCGCGGCAATTATATAAATATGACTCCGGTGCGTTAGGTGGAAGTCGTAAGCCGCGATATTCGGTGATATTTCAGTATAAGCACAGATACCTAACCAGTTGCGTTTTAATGATGTTCTGTAACTGGACGCGGCTTCCCAGCTTCGCATCGATATTATCAGGTCCACGGACCAGGGGCTCGGGGCCGAAAAAGGAATTTCAGAAAAGCGCGCGAATCTCAATCGCAATTGTGCCGATATACATTACGAGAAATATGGCATTTTATTGGGAACGACGGATCGATATGATGCTATAAGAACGGGCATTTGAGCCGCGGCCAGAGGCGCCGTAAAACCTTGTTACGGCTCTGTTACACGGACGCGTGTAACCGTCGAGCGCGCGCCGCGGGCGAAGTACGTAACATTATCGGGACTCTGGTTTTTTTTTTTATTTTCCTACTATCGTTCGAGACGCGCCGCACACGGACGTCTCTCCGGTAACCGAGTCACGACCGTGGTCGCGGTCGGCGGAGGCGCGCGCTCGGGCGCGTGTGCGTGCACCGTACGACGGCGGCGTGCGCTCGGGCGACGGGCGCGCGCCGGCTCCCGAGCCGACGGCCACGACGACTCCTCTACGAAAAAATAATAATAATAATAATAATATTATAAACCGGTCGCACGCCCTCGCAGCGGCGCGCAACGACGACGTCGCACACGAGAGGAAAAAAAAAAAACAAACGGATTCCGACAGCCTCTCTCTCCCACACACACTCACTCGCTCTCTCTCTCTCTCTCGGCTCGTACAATCTACCGCGGCGTAGGATCCCACGGTGCGCGCGCCACAGACGACGGTCGCTCGCGACGACCGGTCGTTTGGACAGAGGAAAAGAGAAAAAAAAAATTCACAACCGGCCTCCGCACACGTACGCGGAGAGATAATGCCGCGCGATAATAACATTATATTATTATGTATGTATGTAATGCTGCCAGTCTTTCCGTCTTTGCCGCCGCGCTGCCTTGAGCGGAGAGCGCGCGAGCTCGCGCCGTCGGAACGACGTAAAAAAAAAAAAAAAGGAAAACCGCCTCGTGCGCGTCGTTACCGTCGGCGGTGTGCGCGTGTACGTACACGGTGTACATCTCCGCGTATAACGCGCGCGTAAAAACGTTTCAATACGCGTCCGGCATTGTTATTGCAATCACTGTGTACGGGGCGATTCTCATTTGTCGTCATCGGCTTACCGTTATTGCGATCAACTGTGCGATCGGTTTCACGCGCAGCCAACACACGTATCGGTGGAACGTTTACGGGTCGGGGTCTAGGGGCGTTTTGTCCCTCCGCAGCAATAGGGGGGGGGAAATCGGATCGGATAAACGTTCCGGCAGCGCAATACAGTCGGGTATTGAAACGGTATGCGTTACACAGTACACCTACATACTCGTATGCAGACCGTGGCGTTGCGCCATTGGGCGTATGAGCTGCGCGGCTACACACACGCGTACCGTAATCGTACGGAAAAGCCGATAACTGACGGATCAACCGATTGCGATTCGTATTCAATACCCGAACCTCGTTATTATTCGAAAAACACCCAGGTAGTAATCGTTAAAAACTATCGCCTCCCCCCCCCTCCCCCAGAAAAACGCGCTACTGGTTTATCTACTGCCCCGACGTTTATTTGTTTTTAACTCGTAAACACGATAAATCCGTATAACAAAAGCGTTATTAATTTAATACGCATGCATAATACGGACGTTTTCAGAAAAAAATGTGTGTATTTTTTTTTTTTCGAACTAGAATTAAAATTTAAAAAGGACAATTCGTTTGTTATTAATTCAAAAGACGCGACAAGTGCTCAAGTTAAGTGTATAAACAAAGTTCGGGGATCAATTTGAAAACAGTGTTAGAACAAAGTTTAAACAATGTTATTATTAGCGGTGAGCCGACATGACTTTTTTCCGGTATCCGATATTCAAATATTTGCTACCGATAACTACGATAATACGATATTTGTTTGATACCACGAGCCAAATATTCAAATTATCCGACGTCTCGAAAAAATCCGAAAGCTATTTTCTACTGATATCATTTAAGTATAATTATATATGTTGTATAGGCACAACTTATATGAAATTAGTAATGTGTTTATTAAACTGTGCGTCTTTATTTTCGAAAAATATCGGGTCTGATATCGGTTTTTCACAATTGTCCTGTATCGGCAGATATTCGATTTCGGCTCAATATTATGATTAAAAAAACAGAAATCAAAATGTGTATACTAATAAAATCCACCGGAAAAACTGCTGAATCGCGATAAAATAGTCACCCTGTATTATATATTATTCTTTATGCGACTTTATTATATTGTGTACGTGTACATATGTTATACGGGTATATAATATAACGTATATCTGCGCCGTTCTCGGCCACGACCGGTTTAAAGAAGAAAAAAAGTTCTTAGCCACCGATAAATTTTTTTCCTTGGAGAGATGGACAAACGGATGCCGCGAAACAGTCCAAGGGCGCCACTGTGCAGCACGTAATATATTGTACGATTATGTTTATTTATTAATAATAATACTAAACGTCATCTTGCGGCTTAGGATCATTAAAAAACAAAACAATAATAATAAAAATGTTCTAACGACATTTACTGTGGCCGGACCGACACTGTTCCGAGCGATCATTCTCAGCAATTTTGACTTTAAAATAAATAAAGTCACACCTCGGGAAAATTACGAAATAAATAAATTTGTTAATCGATTCTGTATACGAACATATGTATTTAGATTTAACACTGTTTAAGTATTAGTGTATTTTGTGATTATACAGACCCTTGTATTCTCTTAATACTACAAATGGTTTGGCTAATATTGGCTTCGGTATTATTGCCACAAAGAAGTTTATACAATATTATATTATATCAGATAAAGTTATCGATGTTTTGTGTTTAAACAAAGTAAAACTTGAATTTATATTATGAATCGATAAAACAAAGTAAAATATAACATTAATAATAATTAAATTCATTATTATTATAAAAAAAAAAATTGTGTTCCTCTCCAAAAGATTTATATTCCACATTCCTTGCGCAAACGTAAGCTGCGCGGAAAATCGGAGCTACGGAGCAGATCAACAACGAGTGTTGGTAGCTGGATTAAAGAATACCCGGAGCAAATGGGAAATATTGGCGTTAATGTATTACGATATATAGAGACAGATCAAAGGTAGAACAAGGAAGTTATATGCTTACTGTTAAAAGGCTCTTAAAGAGTTTAAGATAAGAAAAACGAATACAGAACATAGTACAATATCATATGGTTTCGAGTCTAAACCATATAATATACCTTATGCCTAACGAATACAAGCGACACAGCTAATCCAGAAACGTCAGTGGATTCGTCCGTTTGTAAAGAAAAATGATTGCATTTAAGACGAGATATTAATTCAGATTTTATGCGAGTTGATATATCGTTAATTCTACGCCTAACGGTGTGGTTGGAAAGTGGAATAGTATTTATTTTTTCGACTGCCTTTTCATCTAACATACAACTAACAATATCAGTCACGCGAGGTCTGATGAGACTTTCGGCGATTGTACGAGCTTTACCAGCCTGAGCTATACGATAGCTGACCATATAAGATGCCTCTGTTGCTTTTGCATTTGTCGTTTTTGACACTTCGGCTATAATGTTCTTATTCTTCTAAAAGTTGATCACGCAATCGAATAAAATAATCAACAGGTTTATCTTTCACGTTTTCACGGTTAGTTTCCAGACGACGACGCGATTCGGCTGGCACCATTGAACTATTCGGGAAAAACTTTACTACATACAACGCACTGTGGATAACCATTTTCGTGTATGAAACCAAAAGAGACATCATTTCCGTCATATTTTCTTTTTTTACTTACTGTAGTGTCAGATGTCACTGTATCAGCATGTTTGTTAGCCGGACTATTTGCTCTTATTAAACTCGCACTATTAGCCGTTGCGATACATATGTTCTCATTTGCATCTGACGAGGATGATCCCACTGTAGTTTTTGATTTGTTTAGCCAACGATCCATTTAAATTTTTATTCGCAAAAAAAAAAAAATAATAATTGTTAACAATAAAAACAATTAATGGTAAAATAGGGCACGCAATACGAAATAAACGCCGAAATAACGATATTTGCGTCGGCGGCCGACGAATAACGAGTAATGACTGAAGAATCGATAAACTATGGGAACTTCGTAGAATGTAGATTTGTACTGTTGTAGATAAGTAAACTAGATTAACGTACAATATGTCAAACGAATGAAAAACCCGACTTTTATCTAATCTCATTTTAACAACGACACAAAATATGCGGATTTACAAACAGTGTTTGAAGTTTTAAAAGTTTAGAATTACGCATACGGGCACGGTCCAAATAATCCGTACACATAAAATCCAAATACCACTGACTGACTGATCGCCGTATCTCAAAGACTACGTAACGCACGGACTTGAAATTCGGAACACGGGCCCTTCTCGTATATTCACCGGGGGATTTTCAAAAATGTTGCGTTTTAGCGGAGTAATTAACGATTATAATTATTCACCGGCAACGCGTATTGTGCGGCACGGCGGCCCGCGGGTTTCCGGCTACCTGTAACCAATCCTTTTCGTTCGTCGTCGTGTGCATAAGAATAACGATTCCGAGAATAAAATTGTTCCGAGAAGTTTATCGATAAAAATAAATGTATAGAGATATTAGGTTATTATGTATATTATCGATAATTGTGAATTTAAGACGGTAAATGGTCATACATACACATGGCGTTATCTAATTTGTCACGAATTTTTGTTTCCGGGCAACGCCGGGTAATTCAGCTAGTATTTATTATAAAAATAAAAATGTATAATAATAATTTAATAATTTGAATTTGATTAATACAGACGTTCCCAGGGAGCCACGGAGCCCCTAGACTACTCTCGCGGAGCACAGTTTGAGAATACCGCTGGTTTAGACAAATCCCAATAAGTGTTCCGAACATAAAATCCTGTAGTCGTCAGTAAATAATTATTTCGCGGGGAAAAAAATGGGAACGTCGTCATTATTTTGACTCCACGCAATATGAAAAATTCAAAAAAATAATTGCGCAGGTTGACTTTTATATATTTTTTATCTGTTTCAGTGGGTGTTTAATATAGATCATGAACACATATATATATATCCTATATACGAGTATAATATGCTCAGTATAAATGCATATGAATTCTCTGTTTAAGATAAATGATTTTCAAGCATATTATAAAAATAAAGCATACAATGTAGAAAAACATTGAAACGATACGTTTTTCTCACAACGATGTATTTCGAATGAAATCTAACTCGCCAAAAATATTTTTTAAAAATATCGATAAATTCCAAAAAAAAAAAAAAAAGTATACACCTATGTAATAATAGCTAGAAAACGTAATGATGGTTAGCCAGTACGGAATTTCCATCATAACTAATACATTGGATTCATCAATGGAAGGCTTAAGATTAGAGCACGTACTGGCAAAAGAAAGAAAACGTAAATACATTTAGATCAACAAATAAATGAAAATTTCAGAAAAAAAAAAAAAAAAAACGAAAATTTAAAATATATATGTTAAATTTATCGTTTGTTGAAAAATCAAATCAGATTTCAGACAATTAAAAAACATGTACAACATATATAGTAACGATAGTAGTGTACTCGCTAGTTAAGTTTTTAGACATAACAATAAGTTGACAATTTATTATGTACTCGTGATACAATATTTTAATAAACTATTCGAATACACGTTAATTTTTAATTTTATTATGTTGAGCGAATAGTCCGAATAGAATTATAATTCCAGCCGGTAAAGATTACGATTACGGGCGGAAATAGCACGAAAAAGTTGATGAACCGATGAATCGCGTTCACGGGTGAAAAGTGCACGCCACCACTGAAAAACGTGTAATTTATTGCACTGTTGTCTACAAGTAGGGATTACCGTTCGATTTATTACGCTCGCGCATTGAATTATGCGCAGAAAATATTTTAATGGACCGTGGTAATAATAAATAAATAATGTGCTATAAACTATTACGCGTATATTATAATATTTTAATAGTCGCTTCTAACAGATTATTATATTCGACGGGGCCCGCAGTAAAAAAATAATTTTCTCTATAATAAAAATTAAAAAATAAATTAAATCAAGTCGTTATAATGCGTTTTTTGAACGTGTTTTTATTATTATTAATTGAAACTCTCGTTTTATATTACAATAATATAGCGACAGGCGTCGATTATAAATTATTATTATATTTCACTCCAATTATTAATGCATTGATTGTTAAATTATTTTCGTGCCGAAGAAACATAAAAAAAAATGCGTGGGCAACGCAACCAAATTTCCAACGGAACACATCTTTATAAGTATATAATTTTTTTTTATTCGTTTATTTTACAGGATGTTTCACTTCAATGGCAACACGAAACATTTCGGCAGGTTGGACCTAGATTAAAATGAAGTTTTTTTCAGAAATATCGGAAGTTCTTATGTACACATTTTGAGCCTATTATCAAAATAATAACATTTGCGGTGTACGAATGCGCAATAAAACATACGTTTACTTAAAAGGAAGCGCCTATTTTCAATACCAGATTTGAATAGACCTATATTTTTTATTTCAAGCAACTTTTATTGATACAATTTTTAGATTCTAAGCGGAGCGAGGAATGCATTGGTTTTATAATGATGTTTATTTTTTTTATGTGAACACTTTTTCTACCAAAAGACTTACTCCGATTATTAAGTACACCACCTTTTCTGAAAGGAAATGTTCTCTGGATGGAACTTTAAAAAAAGTCATTTTTCTAAATTCTCATTAAAATTCGAGATGATGAGGAAAATCTGGTTCTTTAGGTTAAAAAAAATTAAAAGATTCAAAAAAAGGTTGTCCTTGGAAACCGTTTTTATTTATTTTTTGTTATTATTTTAAATCGTTTTTAAACAATTATTGTCATGAAAACTCACATTGTTGAAAAAGTAATATTATAGACCGAGCTATATGAAAATAAAATAAAATAAATTTCGATTTCAATACATTATTTTAACCATTAATCTTTAAATTTTTTTTATTCTATACTTAAGAATCGCTATCAACACTCCGACCAGAATTGTTTTTTCGTTAGCAATGGTTTATCGTTGCTTACAGATATATATATTAAATTCTCTTAATTCCGTTTCCTTCCATCACAACTTCCCATCTAAAACAGTGGCTTCAACCACGTGCGAAATATGTCCGTCTTCTCTTCATCTCAAACGTTGCCCGAGATAAAGCTGTCCAGAATTTATTAAAAACATGATTTATGTTGGTTTTTCAAAAAAATATGAAAAGTATATCAATTATTATGTATATTTGTGGTTTTATGGTTATTTGTATATTTATAATTTTTACTTTTAGTGAGGTAGTCAAATTATTCCTACACTTTTAAGTGGTCTCGTGTTGTCTTTTTTTGAAAAAACGTATTTTTAAACAAATTTTCTGCGATATTTCGGCTGTATCTTAGATACAAATTTATCTTAAGGTACTGCATGCATGCAAATATAATTTATGTTTTAATTTTTTATGTATGGAATATCTAAAGTAGTATTTAAGTATATTAAATGTACGAGTATCGAGTATAAAATATCTTGTATCTATAGATACTGAAACTCAAAGTATCTATATATTATCGAGTATCTAGGTACTATTTTTGAAGTTTATATTGCCCATCCCTGGTTGTAAATAATATTATAGTCTTGCTTCTATCGGGATGAAGTCGCTGAAAAAAAACGCTAATTGAAAAGGACGCGCAGATGCGTGCAAAAACTGCGCACACTAAAAACAAATTGCAAAAAAAAAAAAATCACACGAAACGTTTCGGATCGGTTGGCCTGGGGGAGGAGGACACGTTTTTTTTGTTTTTTTTTTTTGGTGTGTGGCCGCGGCAACCACAACCGGTTCTCGGACGGTCTCCGAACACGGTCGGTCGCAGTTATATCGCTTTGCCGGGCCTATAATAATAAAAAAAAAAAAAAATAAAAATATATATAATATAATAATAATAATAATAATAATAAATAAAATAACGTTCACGTATATACATTTTCGGCGAGACCGCTGTCAAAAAAAAATAATAATAATAAAATAAAAATATATAAAAGCCGAAATAAAAAGATATTTGGTCTTAAAATATCGTTTAACGACCGGCGGACGAAAAAAAAAAAAAAAAACACTGACACCGAAACGACACCCGGCGACACGGCGACACGGCGGCGGCGGCGGCGGCGGCACGCGGAATAGTCGGTAATTTTTTTTTTTTTCAG